CCTTAGGTATCAAACTGTTTTTGTCAGGGAGCACTTTACCTCTAACGTGAGATTTTCCGAAGCCTCTCCAATTTAGTGAAGTCTCTATTTTGAGTCTTCTGGAGCCCCCCATGTGAATTTTAATTTAGTTGTACTCTGATATGACACGGGATGAAAAACCAAAAAAGAAAAAGGACCAAGACCATAATGGTATATTTTTTGGATAAATTACTTAAATACACACTTTTATTTTTTATAATTTTCATTATTCCCTACTATTTTAAAATATCTCCAAAATCCCTTCTTTTCCTTTCAAATCCCATTGTTCTAGATACATTAAGTTTCACATTCAAGCACACGTTTCTATTCCTAATTTCACTCCCTTGATCCCTCCCTATTTCACTCCCTTTAACCTCTTCCTATTTTTACTCCCTCAATCTTTACTCCCTTTATTTTTTAATTTTCAGATTTATTCTCTCTCCATAAGATTTTTCAAGAATCAAGTAAGTTTTCGTTTCACAATCTCCTCCATTTCCACATTTTTACAAAATATATAAGGAAAAAGTGAAAGATATGATGTATCCTCATTGCTCCTTGCAACATCATCGTTTCCAGTGATCGTCTTTTGCTGATGAAATCATTTTCTATTGTTGACAGTGAGACAAAGATACAGAAGTTGGTATAGAGCAAAGTAAAAGTGTAGGGAGATTTCTTGGTCATTTGTTTCTTTTTGCTTTCAACAAATCAATTGTTGATTTATTTTTTTTGTACTTCATCTTTTATAATACATATGATTTCATATTTAATATATCTAGTTGATTTTGTTTCTTAAACTAATGTATAATGCCTTCGTTGATTTTCAATGTAACTCGTTGTTTAATCGATGTACTGATACATGTATTAGATATGTACCACATGTTATAATGTTTAGTCAATGCACTGATACATGTAGTATATATGTATCAAATGTTTTTCATGTAGTATGAATTTTCTGAAAACTGATATCATGTATCAGTAAGGTATTAGTTGTTTAGTTAATGTACTGATACATGTTTTGAAAATTGTTATAATGTATTTGTTATAATGTATCATTCACTAAGTTTAATAACTGCGTCATCAACTGTGCTTAATGATACATATAGAATCAGTGTGTATAGTGTTTTGTCGATGTACTGATACATGTATTAGATATGTACCACATGTTATAATGTTTAGTCAATGCACGGATAGATGTAGTAGATATGTATCAACAACGATAGAAAACGAAATTGAATCTCCAACAACGATTCCGTCGATTTTGTAACTTTCATACTGCAATTCGTTCACCCAAATTCCGGAATGTCTCATCAAAATTGAAGTATTCATCTTGAAAAAATCCACAGTAACAACAATAAAATTACTGTAGTTCGAAATTTAACAGATTGTTCATAAAAAATGTATTCAAACTAGATGATATAATCTTTGATTTTCAAAATTTGAAATTAATATCCAATTACGTGGTGAATTTATGCTGATTAATGATCTGTTACTGTAAAATAAGTTGTTTTAGTAACAACATTAAATTTACCATTTTTTCCCTATTTTTTTCTCAACAGTTTAAACTTACCATGTATCATTTACCATGTATCACAAGAGTCTAAAGTATCACGGCACAACAAATTTAAGGGATTTTTTGTAAATACTAAATTTATCGGGACAGAGTGTAATTATTGAATTACACTATGGGATTCCTTAAATTTTTACATATTTTTTCTATTTAATTGTAGTAATATAATTTTAAAATATCTGTATTATTATTTTATAAAATAATTAATAGTCATATCAATATCAATATGTCAATTATATGATATATTTTAGATCATAAATTTTTTTTTTTAAATCTTAAATTTCATAATCAAACTCAAATAACATTACATAAATTAAGAATTAAAAAAAAATATTACTTATTTGGAAAATTAACCGACGGCTAGTGGTACTGGTGAGACTTTTCTGACGAGATTTATCATAGGTAATAATAAAAAGAGCAAAAGCCATTTGGTGTGTTATAAATGAAGAAAACTATGAAATTATAGTAACCTATTAATCCTTTTGGAAGAGTAGTCAAGGACTCGTATGAGTAGATGTTTTTTCCTCTTTGCTAAGGAGCGTTTTATTTTTAATATAAATTTTTTTAATATAAATTTAAATTTAACTGTGTTTTAATATAGATATTGTGCACCAAATAAAAAATTGGAAAAGAAAATATTTCTTTTTAATTTAATTAATTTCACGTATATGTTCTTTTATTTTAGTTTTTCTTTAAAAAATGTGTTTTTTGTTTTGTTTTTACTTTTCATATTTTCACGATTATAGGATTAAAAGATATTTTTAATACATTTTAAGATCATAAAATTTATTTATTTATTAATGGTATCACTATTTATATTGCATTAATATTAGAGTGTTTCGTTTTGATGTTCATAAATAAAGCCTCTTGGGTTGCTTTTGATACACTGAATAACGTGTATCACTGTCGTCAATGAATGTCCGAATTCCCAATGTTCCAACGGAAATTAATTACTCTCTAGGTCCAAATTATTTATTTATTTTTGAATTAACATATTTATTAATAAAATAAATATTAACATAGTAAAATTTGTTATTTTACTTTTTGTTCTTGAAAAAAGGGATGCCACTGCCGAGGATACAACCCGAGTCACAAATGAATTAGTTATGAAGTAGATGAATTAAAAATTTAAAATCTTCAAAAAGTTCGACATTTTTCAAAGTAATTAATTGAGGGTATAATAGGTAAAAGAAATTATCTTTTTTTGATTTATCAAAATGAACAAGTAATTAGGGACAACTATAAAAAAAAAGTGGTCAAGTAATTAGAGACGTAGGAATACTTCCTCTATTTTATTTTAATACTCCCTCCATTTTAAAAATAATGACCTAGTTTGACTTGAAACGGAATGTGATTTTAAATTAAAGTTATGTCAAATATATCAAATGTCCTTTAATATTGTGGTCTTAAACCTGCTACGTGAAAAGTTAAAATTAAAGTATTACCAAAAAAGGAAAGGAGATATTTTTTTAGAACAGATTAAAAAGGAAATAGGATTATTCTTTTTTAGACGGACGGAGTAATAATTTTTTTAAAAAAACAATTACCAGCAGAAGTGAACAAAAAAAATATCGTCAATCGTGTACTTTTAGTAAGGATGAAAAGTAACAGAAGAATCTATAAAATTTATCCGCACAATATTTAGATTAAATTAATAGTTAGAACAAAAATATATAGTAGTTAATTATAATTTGATGATTAGAATGTATATGGAGAAAATATGTGTGATATTTTATTTACTAATATGATATAAATACGAAAACATGGGAAAAGAAATTCTTTAGGACTTTTTCCTATCTTAGCCCAAGCCAACCCTAAAAATGTATTTTTGTAATAATAAAGCGTAGCTTTGAGTAATTATTATCATTCACCTAAAAGTAAAGAGTAATTTTAGTATTAATGAGAATATCCATTTAGAAAAAAGGAACACTTTGCAATATTATAAAGATGGAAGTTGGTGGTAATTAACTGCTACCAAAAATATACATATTTTGCATGTTACCCATGACTAAACCATGTCGGTGTTCATTTAATAATAGTTGTCCATTATATTATTTTAGAATGTTTAATAGTAATATTTATTTATTTATGAAATTAATGGATAATTTTACACTTGGTTCATAATTTATCTATATCATTAAATATGATTTTTTTTTATATTTGTCAATACATTATATTTATTATATTCAAAGTGGATTATAGTAAAATTATTTTTTTATTTATAATTTCTTAAATAGTATAAAAAGTTAATAACGGACAAGTATTATTGGAGAAAGAAAATATTTCTTTAGCTTTTTATAAACTTATTATAAATTTTATATGTTTTTTGTAAGAGGCACTTTCTTTTATTTTGTATTAGTTGACTCTTTTTTATCTTATAAACTTCTACAGAAAATTTTAATTAAATACTTATCTTTTTCTTTTATCGATTTGCTTTGTCATGCTTTTATTTGAGCGTAAAATCTATTGAAAATAATATTTTTTTCTCTCAATTTTTAAAATGAGAGTAAAATCTATGTATATACACTAATTCACACCATATCCTATTAATGAGACTACACTTATTATTGTTATCGTTGTCTATAATATATGTGACCCGAAAAATAAAGTAATGTACTATGTTATAAGAGTTTGAAATATTGTAATTATACAAAAATATTTTAGGCTGAATTTGTGTAAAAAAAACATTTCTAATTTTAATTTAACAACGGAATACATGATATATAAAGTATGTATTCTTATGAGACAATTTCATTACTAAATTTTTGTGTATTCTCAGCTCTCAAGTACACCCATTAGCTAAATAATTAGTTAACCAGTATACAAACAAAATCATGTAATTGCATGATTGACCTTTTTAATGACTAGTCTTTAATTGTTGTCCTTCAAATAGACTGATCTTTTATTGTTGCTCCTAGAAATCAAACTCATGTCTATCGAAGCATAAGTTCTTTAAAACGTTGAAAATAACTTATGATGCGAAAATATAAATTTAGGCCTAAAATAAGATAAAGCGCAAAACAAGTGCATTTGGAATAGAAACATAATAGATTGAAATGTTACATTTTTTATTTTTATTTTTTTGATTTTTTAGTCACTATAAAACAGGGGGGAAATCATATATTCACAACTTCAAAAAAATATATATGTTACTTGTTTGTTTTCATTTCAAATCTTTGTCTGTGAGAGGTCAATATAGACCCTTATGCAAATGTTTATTCACAATCACAAGCATAAAACAATACAATTAGTTGTTTTCACCCCATCATTGTCAACATATTGCCAAATACATGAATCTTTGTTATCATCCAAGCATAACAATGCAAAAAATACAAAACAAAGAACCAAATGTACATGTATATAGGATTGATTAAATTCAAGTAATATAGTTCTTTGATCGAACGCGAATCCCAATATGGGATTCCTTGGATTCTCCAAATCCAATCCAAGAAGTTATTGGATTGCTAGTGCAATAGTTCTTGTTATCATTCTCATAATCATCTTAAAGAAGTTGATAGTTTATCTAGATTGTAAAGGCAATAGCCAACTTTCGAAAACCAAACCTGATGAAGAAAATCAAGTTAGTGTTGATTCAAATGGTACTATAAGAACTTATGCACTAGAAGAATTGAAAATGGCAACCAAAGACTTCAAAATTCGAATTGGTGTTGGAGCTACTTCATATGTTTATCGTGCTGAGTTTGGAGATGGAAGATTAGGCGCGGTGAAGCGTGTTATGGAGGAAAGAGGTGGAGAAACAAAGATGTTCTTGGATGAAGTCTCTGTCTTGCTCAGGATATCACATCCTAACTTGGTTGGTTTAATGGGATTTTGCTTGGATAAAGGTAATCAACTTCAATTTCCTAGACGTTGAAGTGTGACTGTCTCGTCTAAAAGTTTAATCCGTCAGAGAAAATACACTTTTATGTACTTCACATGTGGTCATGGTTCTTTTTTTACAGACTAAGTACATGTAAATTTTTGTTTTGACGATGAGTGGAGGTGAAACTCGAACACAAGACCTCTGTCTGCTCTCTTACTAATACAATCACATGACCTGTTTAAGACCTGTTTACTTTTTTTGGCTAGTATTTTTCGATTCTAACTTTCTACATGACCTGTTTAAGACCACAAATTTTAAAAAGGACATTTTGATACATTTTATTATGTTGTAGTTAATGTTCTTTTCATCTTTTCAGATGCCTATTCATGCTTTCTTTTGTATTTCTCCATTAATTATTTGTTCACTTCTATTATTTCTCTGTCGAAAACAACCTCTGTATCTTTCAAGGTAGGGGTGTAGTCTGCGTATATTTTACCCTCCTCAGTGGGATTACATTGGATACGTTGTTGTAAGTTGTAACACATATATGCATAATGTTTCATATCTGATTCAAATTCAGCTCCATTTATCATTTTAAAGCAGGAGAACAATTACTACTTTTGGAGTATGTTCCTAACAAAAGCCTCTTTGAGAGGATGCACACATACCATGGCCAATCCTCTGGTACATTATCATGGTCTAATCGTCTAAACATCGCGTTAGATGTTGCTCGTGCTCTTGACTATCTCCATTCAGTAGCTGATCCTCCTGTCATACACAGAGACGTTAAATCATCAAACATTCTGTTAATCAACGATGATCACGCCAAGCTTGCAGATTTCGGGCTATGCAAATTAGGCAATGATGTTATAAGCGCGACTACACCTACTAAAGTAAAAGGTTCACTCGGTTATGTTGACACATATTACCTTAACACGGGCCTCGTGTCACCAAAAAGTGATGTTTATAGCTTCGGAGTGTTACTTATCGAGCTCATTACAGGGCTCAAGTCAGTACAAGGCTCGATGACGCTTGCTGAATGGACTGAGGAATGTAGGGGGAAAAATGAGAATGTTGAGGTGTTAATTGGTATGTTGGATCCAAAACTCAATGGTAATGTTGATATAGAACAGCTAAGAGTTTTGGTTGATGTGGCTAATTCATCTTTACTTGAAAATTGTGAAGCAAGACCAAACATGGCACAAATTGTCTATAAAATTTCATGTTGTATGGAGCCTCAATGTGTACATGAATTACCTGTGTAGAACTAAGAAGTGGTTGTAATTAGTACTACAAGTTTGTTGTTTTTTTTTGGGTTCCAACCGACTGTCCTGTGTCTGATATCCGCATTGGAGTCAGACTATTCTGGATTCACGCTATGTAGGGCCCATAAATGTAAAACCATCTATCTGTTCTAGTCAATCCTTGTATGTATTTTTTTTTATTTTTTTTTGTATAGGAACTCACTCTATAAGAGTTTTATTCAGCTTTTCTAGTGAAGCAATTTGGATAAATAATCCAAAAAAACTTAAGGTGATAGTAAAGTGGTACATAATCTTCATATATACATTATAAATTTCAATTTTCAATTCTTTTTGTTGGTTTACTTATCTTCTTTGAAGTATATTGGTAGGAAAATAATTACGGTAGTATGCTGTTAATGTTTACACGTCATCATACCTTTAAGGTGTAAACTTTGCTAAAACAAAATGTTTTACGCACCGAGTTATCTTTTATGACGACACTAAACATGGCTTATAAATGTTGTCATGTCCTATCCTGCCTCGTTTAGTTGTCTACCCATTTAAAAAAATTTGATATTTAAATAAAATTCGGTTATTATAAGTAGAAGATATGTTAAATTGTAAGCTTATAAAAAATATAATATATTACTTTTCATAAATAGTGTGTAAAAATATCAAAATATTTGGTCAAAATCTCTAGATCTGTTATTGATAGTAATAATTTTAGACCTTCTATTTCTATAAAAGATTGTTAATTATTATTACCCAAAAAAGAAGATAACTGATTGTTATAAATGAAATATTTTCTCCATTTCAAAATAATAAGTGAATTTATCTAATAAGAAAAAATTTAAGACATAAAGTAAATATTATTTTTCACTTTTGCCCTTTTAGATATTCTCAAACTGTTCTTCAAAATATAAATTGTTTAAAATAAAATCATAAATATGGGCAATCAACTCTCTTGAAATTAACACCTAAAAGATGTAAACGAGGAGCAAAAAAACAATAAAAAATTCAACAACCCTCTTGAATTTTAATCAATTCACTTAATTGGAACTATAAAAAAAAACTCCACAATTGACTTATTTTAAAACGGACGGAGTAATATTCTTTTGACTTTGTGAAATTTTATTCAAAATCTACTTACAGATTCCTAAAATCTAAAGAAAGAATTAAATCCCATTCAATCCTCATATTAAAAATCACTAAAATCCTCCTATAAAATCATGGATCCTGGCTTTCAATTTTTCTTCTAAAATCAATTGAAGGGTGCATTAATTCTTCAACATGGTTCATCATAAGTGCACCAAAATGACATTTCCCTTATTAATTGTATTTCTTGTCCTTATACATACCGCAAGTTCATTTACTTTGAATCCCAAATACACTCTTCATATCATGAGTAACCTCCCTACAAATTCTTCCGTATCGAAAGTTCATTGTCGATCTGGAGACGATGATCTTGGATTTCGTACCCTTAAATCTGGCGATCAATTTGATTTTTCCTTCCATGCTCGAGGAAATACTCTTTTTTCTTGTAGTTTCAGTTGGGGTTTAAAAATGAATGATTTTGAAGTATTTAGCAAAAGAAATAAACATTGTAGTAGAGTCTCTTTCAAGAATGAGCATTGCTATTATTTAATGGGGGGTGATGGTTTTTATTTTGCTAAGGGTAATTCTATGCCTCAGATTTCTGATTTCGAGTTTATAGCTCCATGGTATGGTTAAATTAAAATGCAATCCATTTGATATTAATAAATTATTACTCTCGTCCGTTTCAATTTATTTTGTCTTATTTTCTTTTTGGTTTGTTAAAAAAAATTATTTTTCTTTTCCTTTTAACAGATCTTCTAACTTTTCATATATTTTGTTTATGATCAAAAAATTAAAAAACGTCTTAATACATTAGAGATATCATTAATTTAACATCACAAGATAGAGATGTTTTTTTAACAAAAAAGGCTTACGTTGATTACATATATTTCAAAGAAGTGAGGGTATAATATTCTGTTTTTCTTCTGAAATGATTTTAATGATTAATCTAAAACTTCAATTTAATAGGTAAAGCAGTCCAAAATCTTCATGTTTAAAGAGCGTTGAATTCTAAAGAATATATCACAAAACTTGGGAAATAGAAAAAATAATAAATATAATAAGGCTATATAATTATAATTTTGATAATTATATTTCATAATTATTGTTTTATTCGCTATAAAAGTTGTGATTTGTATATTCACTTGTCCGTTTGTATATTTCGCTCGTAACTAAATATATATATATATATATATAATAAAAGAGGTAACAAGGGGAGGTAGCGCTTTGTATGTTTTGTCTGTCCATTTGTATATTTTGCTTGGGAATATACATAAACAGTAAGTGTGTACAATTTTTATATTTATATATTTAAGAATTTTGTCAGAACTTCATTTTTTATATTTCGCTTTCCAATATACAAATCCAAGAGGATATTTAGATTGACTTAAAAGTTGATCAAACCTACTTTTAAGTCAGTTTTAATTTGTGAAAGTGTTCAATAATTATAAAAAATAACTTAAAATAAGTTTTTTTTTTAAATAAGACTTAATATAAATTAGAAAATGTTTAAATGACTTGAATAAAGTTAAAAACCAAAAGTAAGTTTTTTTCTATTTTTATTTTTAATTTAAAAATTAATTAAGTTTGACTTTTTATTTTCTTTAAAACTATTTTTTAAAGCAAATCCAAACAAGCTATAAATCTTTAATACAACTCAAGTTACAAGAATTTCAAACATAATTTCATAAAGATTTTCAAATTAATTAGTGAGAAATGGCATTAATGAGATAACTAGTCAACATTTTTAAATGAATATCTAATTTTTCATTAAAAGCAGAATATCATTAATCTTTCTTTTCTAATTGCATTTATTTAGCGCTATCTCTAAGTTTTCAAAGTCAAAGTTTGGACAACTAATAGTATTATCAATAATTAATTAGTCTTTTTTTATATGAGATTCTAGAATTTGCGACGTTTATTTATTTTCATTCGCATTCTAAAAATAATTCAATATATTTTGACCAACTAAATATTAAAAAAAATATGAAAAATCATACCAAACACACTCTTAAATATGGGTATAATGATATATATATATATATAAAAGTAATTGCTTACAAATTTATTACATTAGATTAGATCATATTAATATTCATTTACATATTCCAATATAAAAGCACTCCTCCTATAAACTGAGAACATTATTTTTTTTGTTGAATTCCTAAAATGACTCTCATCAACACCAAAATCATACTCTTTGTTTTACTTATCATCCAAATACGAACGCATAAATTCATTTACTTGGAATCTCAGATACTATCTTCGTTTTCTCGATAACCTCTCGGCAGATTTTCCACCATTGCAAATTCATTGTAAATCTGGAGATGATGATCTTCTAGTTCAAATGCTTAAAAGTGGTGATGTATACCATTTCTCATTCCATGCTACAGGAGATACACTCTTTTTTTTGGTTTTCAATGGGGTTCAAAAGCTAGTGCTTTTGATGTATTTAGCAATAAAAATGAATATTGTAATATAGTTGATTTCAAGGATGAATATTGCAATTATGTAATGGATCCTGATGGATTTTATTTTTCTACTGGGCCTGATCCCAAGTCCTCTGATTTTAAGTTGGAAAAATTATATATAATAGCAAACTAATAACCTAAATTAAATGGAATAGCTAGGTTTTGATTTAATTGTGCTCCATAGCAAACATTAGCTAAAATTTTCCAGCGTATCTCTCCCAAAAATCTCGCTCGCCACTCTCCATTCTCGCTCGTCTCTCTCGCTTTATACACAGAAGTGTATAATCCTGTTTCTGTTTTTATATAAAGCGAGAGAAAATTGTATATACACATGCAAAAATGTATATCTTCGTGTTATACACTTAATTATACAATTTACAAACATTTTACTTCAAATATTGCAGAGAAAAAGGCCAACGAATTATACAATTGCAGTGAAATACAATTTTCTCTAGTTTTATACAACAGAAGTGTATATATTGTGTTTCTGTTTTTGTGTAAAGCGAGAAAAACATATATCTTCTTGCTATACACATACATTTTAATTCGATTCAACTGTATGCAAAACAAATTATACAACTGCAGCAAAATAGGCCAACGAATTATACAATTTAGGCCAGCGAATTATACAATTGTATATGTATAGCAAATTATACAGTTTTATGTTTGCTATGGAGCGCAATTATGCAAAGTTTTGCTATAGAATACAAATATAAATTTTTTATTTGCTATAGGTGAAAGTTGCCCTTTTAAGTTTATAGGTCCATGGCATTGAATCTATTGAATAAATAAATAAAAAATATATATTGGTTTAAATCTTTCAATCTTATTATTATTAGTTTCACAAGAGTTTAGTCTCTATTTTATTTTATTATACTTTTTTGGTCAAAAATATCTACAAGAAACTCTCTTCGTCCACTTTTATTTTATGTTGCGTTTTTCAAAAGTCAATTTGATTAATTCTCTAAGTTAAATTACATTACATTAATTTAATTTTTAAACTATATGAAAAGTACTATAAATTGCAATTTTCGGAATATCAATATAATGAAAAAATATATCTAAAAATGTTAGTCAAAGTTCTTATAATTTGACTCTAAAAATAGAAATAATGACAATTAAAAATGGACGAAGGAGTATAACTTTAACTTAGATTACATTCTTAAAATATTTATTACATTTATTGGACTGATTAATAGAGGCGGACCTACATGTGTACGTGAGGATGTACGTGCACGCGTTGACTTTAAAAAAAATATCATGTATATATATGTATATCTATCTTGAGAAACTAACATTGACTAAAAATATAATTAACAGTGCTTTTCAAATCCCAAAATTGCCTTTGTTGATTAACACAAACATCCCCTTCGTATGTCACCTTTTAATCTATTCTTATTTCTAATAAGTTTGATAAATATAGTTCTTGAAACTGATAAAACACTAGACTGTCACTTAACAATTACAAAATGTATAATTTTAAAAATTCATAGTTTTTTCAATTTGGTGAAATGATCCTTAAATTGTGACCTAAAAAACATTCATAAATTTATACATTTGTACATCGAATGAGTAATTATATATCGAAAATGACTAATTATATACTGAATCAGATAACAAAAAATAGAGTCCTTTGTGTGAATGTTCTTTGAGTTCTAAGCCCATTGATATTACATAAATGGGCTGACTGATGACCCAGATTCGATGCTTTTGAGTCCTAAAGCCCATTGATAGGTAAGGTCCATAATCACAATCAATGAGTGTATCAAATTATCAATAATGAAAATATGATAATTATTTCATATATACATTTTTAATTAGTAAGATTTAATTTGATATAAAATTGCAAATTGCTTACTAAATTGTGGTAGAGATCATTGAGAGCACAATCCTAAATGGAAAAGATTATGTTGAGAGCGTCAACCTTCAAGAATAAGCCTTGAGTGAGAATTCTGAATTTAATGAAGTTTCAGTGTGGATTTTATATATCAAGTAGGATTTTTTTTTTTAAATACGAGTTTATGAGTTTTTAGATCTTCACTTTATGATTTCTTAGTGAGTATTTATTACTATCATT